GATAGATTGTGGACGGATAGATAGATAGATAGATAGATAGATAGATAGATAGATAGATAGATAGATTCATGTAAAGCAAAAAGCCTTTGTGAGAAAGTCATCCTCATAATAAAAGAATGGCTATCTTGAAGGACAGGTTATTTATACTGATAGCGCAGCGAAGGAGGGATAGTGCCGTATTTCATGACCTTGTCAGCTCATTGGTGTGGTGGATAATCCACTTCCATAAAGAGAAACCATGGATTTACAGAGAGATCAGAGAATGCAATATATGCCTACTTATCACGACCGTAGCCCGTGTCTCGTTTTGACAACCATCTGTCTCTAGAAGACGTTCCTCTGTTCTTCTAGAAAGGTGAGAGCAGTTCCCTTGTTTCATTGTTTTAGTCTTGGATATACTATTTTTTGTAGATTTTTGCTGGAAGTTGTAAAATGTAGTTTGTGGGATTGATGATAGAGGTGATGGAGAGGGTTGTCATAGGAGTTGGTTCTTCTACCGTAAGTCGCAATGGTAAGAAGCCACCTGTTGAGAACATAATTGTGAAGTATAGATTGTTGTACTAGTCTTATAGGCATTTAGACCAAGTTGAATTGTTAATGATTTGTGAAAATAGCTTCAGATAGTCCGCAAAATAATGTATGATCATTGCTGGTGATTCTAACTCATGAAAAGTTTGTTTTTGGACTAATCAGAAGTCTTTTATTCTGGAAACACTATGCTAAAATGCAAATAAACCATTTTTATTGGTCACCTAAAGGGTGAGGTCAGGTTTGATATACTGACTGCTGAAGTGACTACCGGAAAGTGAACACTGACAAAAGCATAAATTTGAAACTGATCCTTAAGTCTTACTCCACCTGTCAGCAACTTCTTACGATCTTCCTTATTAACAACTGATTTACAATACTGTCTCATATAAAACTGATTTGCAGTACTTTTTAACCCGAAAGACAATGCTGTATATTCACAAAAACCTTCTTGTTCATCTTTTACATCTTGTGTAATGATCTGGCTTAACCTTCTGGAATATCTGGAATATGCATATATTTCCTCAGAGACCTAACTGGTCTTGACTTTTAAGAGTTCTTAAGTTGCTCTTTTACCAAACCTTCACACAGGAAGACCATTGTACTACTTGATCTATTCCGCCATGTGTTTTCTGCTAAACATGTCCTCAATCTTCTTCCATGGCTTAGAATAGTCCTTCTTCAAATAGCCTTATGTGACCTGACTGTTGTCTTCACAGCTTTCTAAGTATGTCATTAAAGCATTAAGAGTCAATTTAAGTGTACTAAATTAGTCAATCAGTTTGTCATCAGTTAGCCAGTTAGTCCGGTCTGTCTCTCAGAGCTGGAGTATATTAAGAAAGACATTTGAGACGGTTGTTTAGCGGGGAATAAAGGAGAGCTGTGTTGTCATATCTTTGACATCTCAGAGATGCGCTTGAGGATGGGGCTGTGTCTGCAGCTGATGTACTGGCCTTGAGATCATATTGCATCGAGCTCCTGGCGAAAATCCTCTCGGATGAGTCAAAGACGCTTGGGAACCATGTGGTCTTCTTTAGTTTACACAACTCTTGACATTAAGGGCGATGCGAAAAGGTCACATGATCAGAATGTCTATGGATTTGGTGCCATTGGATTGTGTCCACATGCAATGGTTACACTCTCAGAAAAAAGGTACAAAAGCTGACACTGGGTGGTACCCTTTCAAAAGGGCTGCACCAGAAGAACGTTTTCATAGTTCCTATAACTGTAGGTGGAAGTACCTGCTTTTTGGTGTGTTGCACACCACATGAACTGGGAACGATTTTAGCTGTAGTAACACCTTTTTGGGGGACTAAATGAGCTCCTATTTCAGAGTAGGGTGTAACCTAGCACAATAGGAACTACTGATTCCGAATTCCAGGCACTTTTCCATGCTCTATCCTCAGTGTTGGGAAGGTTAGTTTGGAAATGTATAACAAGTTACACTATTCAAAAAGTAACAAGTAGTGTTTTATTCAAATTGAAGTAACGTAACTGATTACATTTGATTGTTTTTCTAAAATTTCTAACAAATGCTAATAGTACTCGACACTAATTACTGTGAAACTTTCAAAATCCTTCATCACTTGAATTAAGATTATAATAATATAATAAGTTAAAGCACAGCCACCACACAATCGGACTTTAGCACCTCTTTTTACTTTGAGATCGTTCTGATTTTTGCTATTTAAATTTCCAGTACCGGAATGCATTTTTATCACTCGCCATTGTGGCAACTCTCAGACAGGTTGTAGCCTAAAGCTTTCAGCGGCAATGTGGTGCGCTGCAAATTCAAAGAAAAGAACCAGAATAGCATCGCTTTACTAAACAGCCTTTAAAGGACAGGAGGCATTCTGCACATCAAAAACAGACAAAGCAACAAATTTATATTAGTCAACATATCCAAGCTTTTTGCAGAAAATATTCAGATGTATCCCCCTTTGTAATCGTTAACATTTTAATAAGTAACTGTAATTTAATTACACATTTTTTTTCTCAGTAACTGTAATGGATTACAGCTGCATTTATTTTGTAATAAAATTATGTTACACTGTTACATGTAACTAGTTACTCCCCAACACTGCCCATCCTAAAACTGTTGACATTGTTGAATGCCGCGCTTGATTGACATCACTGCTGGCTGGCTTATACGTCACTTCCTTCTGGTGGTGCAAATGCCATAAATGGCCCAATGGGAACATTTAGTTCTCAGTGGACCTCCCTGGTGGCTAGTTCCTATAACAGAGTTCCTATAACTCCCTGCTGCAAAATAATTATGTAACATTTAGTTATAATATGCACCCTTTAGGTATTAATATGTTCCGTTACTGTAATACCTAAAAATACCTAAGGGTGTATTAACACCAGGAAAGTCCGCTAGTTCACTTGCTTTGGTCCGGACCAAATACAATGTTGATTTTTTTTGTTTGTTTGTTTGGTGTGGTTCACTTTCACACTACCCTTTTCCGCAAGTGAACCAGATATTGTAAACAAAATCACACGTGTGCTAAGGTCATCCATTCAACTGTACCAGAGTTCGTTTGGAAGTGGACCGAGACCATCTCTTCAGCTGGGTCTTGGTACAGTTGTTTGGTCCGCACCTGAATGCGATTGTTGTATTCACACCTGCCCAAAACATCCGCACCAAGAGGGGAAACAAACTTAAGTTCAATTCAATCAAACCGAACAAGACAAGTGTGAATACTCTATAAGGTTGTAGATTCAAACTCTGTAAAAAACAAACCTTGGCCTACCACCACTGGATTCTTCACCAAAGTTGTTGTACAGTGAAAATTGTGGTTTATAACTTGTTGACAGGCCAGAAAACATACCCTAGAAAAATACACATTGAAGTATGCAATTTGATGGTAAAAAACTTCAGTACTCAAGGAGGGTGTACTTTTATTATTCAGAAGTAATTTAACTTTCTCAGCAAGATTCTCTCCAAAATGCTGCTCCATCATGACAACAGTATAACTGACTGTAAAAGACAATTTGTGCTAATGCACACTATAGTGCCCCTTGTGGCAATGCTGAGAATGCATTATGCATTGCGTTCTGACATATTTTGAAACTACGTTATGCTTGTGTACCTAGAAGCATTTGTGTTCACATGCATAGTGCTTTTCACCCAAAATGGATGGTCCTCTAGATCAGTGGTTCCCAACCCTGGTCCTGGAGGCACCCCAACACTGCACGTTTTGCATGTCTCCTTAATCAAACACACCTGATTCAGGTCATCAGCTCATTAGTAGAGACTCCAAGATTTGAAATTGGTGTGTCAGAGAAAAGAGACATGCAAAATGTGCAGTGTTGAGGTGCCTCCAGGACCAGGGTTGGGAACCACTACTTTAGATCATCTATTGGTTATTTTATTTTTTGAGCTCCACTGCTCCACTGCTTTACTTTATTGTACAGTAGAGTTCAGACAGCAGTGTAGGGAGAGGGCTCTGATATATTTTGAAAGTATGCATAACCCACTGTGCCATAGCTCTGATGCAGTTCTCTTTTTTCTTTCTATCAAAAAGGTGCGAATAAACTCTTGGAAATGTCTGAGTAAGTATGCCATTCCATCACTCATTGTGACTTTTTTTTTTTTTTTTTTACATGACACTATGTATAATAATCAACACAGCATAATACGACTGGATGACTATATAGTAAAATGGAAGCATGAAAGAAAACACCATCAAAATTCTTTTTTAATTCAGTTTAATATTTTAAGCAGTTTGGGCTGAATTTGCTGCATACGTTTAAAATGTTTGTTTCATGGTTGAAAACAAACACTAACCAGAATGCTTGAGGAATATTAGTGCTGTGCTGCCTTACAAACACTGTAAATATTGTAGATCAGTCCTAACAAAGTACAATCTAACTATGGTAGCACAACAGAGAAATCAATATCCTAATGTAAAGTTTGTCCTTATTTCTCCTCTTGATTAGAAAACGAATGTCTAGCAGTAAAAAACACAGCCTGAAGGTAAGAGCTCATGCCTTATTGAACCAAACCAACATCAAACAGTTACATATAAAAGTAAAAGAATAATGAGTCTTAATGAGTCACATTTGCTTGTAGGGCTTGATGCTCCAGGTTGCAAAAGAGTTACTGGAAGCAGAGGAGATTGAGAAGAAAGAGGAGAGGAAGAGATACATGGAAGAACATTGTCCTACGTTGTCAAACCCAAGCTCCAAACAAGAACTACAGGTCCAATTCAATTATTACTACAACTAGTAGTTGGAAATGTTCGGAAATTCAAAGCTAAAGCATGAAATTCTTTCAATAGGAGCTCTGCAAAGAGTTACATGCAAAAATCGAAGCTGTTGACGAGGAGAGATATATTTTAGAGCACAAAGCCATCATGGTTGTCAATGAGGTAAGATGTTTCACGTGTATCTACTTCTATGTGGTCCATGAACAAGGTGTTCTTTAGATTCTTTTTTGTGTGTTTTAGGTTAAAGACTTAAACATCAAGATCGTCGACCTGAAGGGTAAGTTCAAGAAGCCTCCTTTGAAGAAAGTTCGCATGTCTGCTGACGCTATGCTTCAAGCTCTGTTGGGATCCAAGCACAAGGTCTCCATGGACCTGAGAGCCAACCTCAAACAAGTCAAGAAGGAGGTCAAAGAGGAGGTGAGTACAACAGATGACCAAATTTTTACATGATAAGGTCAAGAAATTCCAGTTTGCAAAAGCTGAAAATCTCACCTTCATTCACAGGATAAAGAACTGCGTGATGTTGGTGACTGGCGTAAGAACATCGAGGATAAGGCTGGTATGGGTGGCAGGAAGAAGATGTTTGAATCTGAAGCGTGACGATGTTGATGATGAGTATTCCACCATGATTTTTTTCATTGGCTTGGATCTGAATAAAATGTACTACTTAAAGGTTTTGCAGGAACGGTTCAGTGGACAGTTCAATTTATAATCCATAAAAATGCCAGTCAAAACTTGAATTGTTCTCTTGAACAATGAAGTGTTCAGTTTGTAATTCTATACAGATTGACCGTTTGCCAAAATTATGTTTTTTTCCTAAATAAATAACCCAACTGTAATAATTGTTGCTTCCTGCTTTTTAAAAAATGTTTTCTTTGTTTTATAATCTTTTTACCTAGAATTGTAACCTTTACCTTGTTGTATTTTTATTTATTTATTTGAATTGCTTAAAGTGAACAAGGAATCAAAATCAACCCTATTTACGTTCTTTATAGACATTCTTGGTCTTATTGTGATCAATTTGTCGATGTTAAAATGACTTTCCTTTTCGGTTGACGTCTTATTTTTCAGTCCCACAAACCACCTAATACAACTTTTTATATCTCATAGACCCACCCTACATTTTTTCACATTGAATATCCCATTTCCCTTTGAAATCCGCCACTATTATGAACGTGAACTGGGTTACAAACAAGGTTTCATTTTGACTTCACACAATTTTTATAATTCAGTGTAACATCAAATCTAAATCAAGTACTGCTTGTTTTGTCTTCAAGGTAAGATTCCTCATTTTCTTGTCTTTATAAGGTTAATATTCAGCACGAGGTTAAAATATAATTAGAATATTTTATAATTCTTGCAGAATGATGTCCAGTATATGTCTTGATGGATCATTGGGTGAGTAAAGTCATGACCCACAACATCTTCCTATATTTGCTGGTGTATTTCTTCATTTTAAAACTGTATATGTCTCTCTTTTTAGTTTAATAACTTTAAGTAGCCACCACAACTAGCAGATGTCTCTAAAAACACCAATTAAATAAATAAATAAATAAGCAAATAATAAGAAAGACATCTTTAAAGGTTAAGTTATTTTTAAGAAGGGAACATGGAAAGTATTTGTGGTGTGAATTTCAGATGTGTGCTCTGATCCACTGGTCTTAGCAACACAGCAGTGTTCCTTAAAGAGATATCTGAGGTTTTGCTGAGCCATCAAAGAATGCACATTAAAAACCCGCATTGCCTGTCAACAGCATGTGAATCCTGCTCGCCGCCTCTTCTATGGGTGGTGAGCACCTCTCGTTTGACTCCCCTCAATCTTACCTTGGATCTGAAGGATTTAACGTACTCTTTCTTTACTGGATCTAACTGCGAACACCTGCTTTCCGGATTAAACCTGTAATTCCACTATTAATCTATTTAACACTATTGAGAATAGCAAAATTTACATGTAATCTAAGCAACTTTATTTATAAACTGTCAAATTGTTTGCAGTAGTAGTAGTTAGGCCTGTGACGATATACTAATTTTGCAATAATAAAAGTCCTTTATTATTGCAATTGTAAGTGTCATGGAAATGTGTGCATTTCAAATGTGCGTTTGGATTTTAAGTGATCTGATATTGTGAAGCTTAATGGCATTACTTAACATGCCATTGTGACAGTTACTTTAAGTCTAATATATAATACGATTTGTAATAGTTATGAATTATGAATGCAAGAAACCGATCTCTCATTTACATTATATAGCATAAACGTGGTCCTTTTCAGTACGGCTCGCATGTTGCTCAATGACTTATGAAGTGATGATTTGACACTTAGAAACCGAATCCCACTGTGAGGAGCTTATTTGGCCTATGATTTCACTTGGTTTGCATTTGCTCAAAATTTATGTATGTGAGCATAAATTTTCTTACAAAATAAGAGGGATAATATATGTGCTGTGACAACTGATTGTTTGGCTGCACTGTTATTTGTAAAGTGAAAAAGGTGCATTTGTCCAGGATCTTAAGGCATGTATGACTAAACTAGGCAGTTATGTAGCCTACCTCTGTTAACATCTTAAGTATGAAACGGACACTGATATGACAACTAGACAGTTTTTGTTTTTATCTGCATTATGGCATTTTTTAATCATATATTCATATTGCATATACAAATCCTCTAGTTTTGTCATTTTTGAGGTTTATGCAGTTTAGTTTCCATTGTGTTCCTATTAGTATTTTACTTTTAAAACTATTTTAAAGGTAATGTTAATATCAAGAAACAAAAAGCTGTACTTGCAATGATTATGTCACTATCTGTTTCAAATGGCAGCATTGCTAACAAGTCATGGGGTCGAAACAAATCCAAGACAAACATATCAAAGAGTCTGAAGTAGATATATGGCCCTGATTTATAGGCTACACCATAGTATGAAAAGTATACCGTAGTTAACGACCCATGCCAAATTTCACCAAAACTGTTACTAAAAGAAAGATTACCTGTGGTAATTTTACATCACCGTCATCAAATGTGTCATGGAAATTAATTTATTATGCCCTAAAAATGTACAAATGAAGAGTTCAGATGCAAAAGCCTTTAAGTGCCGTCTGACATTTTCTTCTAAAATGAGCATTTTTCTCAGGCTTCTATGTTTATGTTCAGTTATTTCACTTCAATGGCAATGAAAATAACCTATTTATTGCCATTAAAGTGAAATGACTGAACCTACACACAGGAGCCTGATAAAAATACAAATTTTAGAAGAAAATGTCAAACTCCTCTTAGAGCCCTGTTGAAAAAACCAGCATATGCTGGTTAGGTATGTTTTGACGCTGGGATGCTGGTTTAAGCTGGTCCTTTGCTGGTTTATGCTG